GTGAAATAGGTATCGGTTGTCCTCAAGTACATTAAAACTTGCCGAAAAAGAAGCTCGACTGTCTCATTATTTATTCAAGTAGTGGCTGATCCAGTAGCAATGTAGCCGAAGAGATAAACGAGGCAAGTTTCTGGTGGTAACCACTTACAAACATCAGGGTACGAATCCAGTTAGAAATAGTCTATTTCCAGATACCGACAATATATCTATTTACCAGTTAAGAACGATAGGGTTTTTTCACTTGTGAAATTCCAACAGAAGTTATTTGGCTATTTATCAACCCATCCATTTATATATTATCGCAAGAACAGTTCCACTTTCTGTTCAAGCTTTAACATATCCGCTCCAGAAGCACCTTAGATATCAGTAAGTGGAGGTGAAACAAAGACAATGATTTAACGACCTGAAGGATGTAACTGTGTTATGTGCAGAAAGCAAGAGAAATTGAGGTAATATCAAAAAAAGCTAGTTTTCTCGTATTTCCACGTTACGACACTACTCTCGGGCTTGTGACACCTCCCTTTAACATACCCAACTCTGTCATATTCACTGAAGCTTTCTCTCCTGGCATTTGACCACACCAAACACTCACACATCCCCTTTTACAACACGTCTATGGCCCGCCAGCTTCGCGGTATTTTAAAGTTGACGAATTAACTCGGATTTTACAACGAAAACATTTTTTTTTTTTTCTGAATTTTGATATTAATTTAATTAAAAGAAATTTTAAACAGTATACATTTAAAAAAAACAACTAGCAATCTTGCAGTTACTATGTAACTGTCGTCACTTGTAAACTTTATTAAATAATTACTTTTGTAAAGATATAAGCTCATCTTGATGTTACACTCATCAAGAGCTTTCATTTGAGTACCCACATGCATTTTTGATATATTTTTCATATATACATATGTATAATATATATATATAAAATATATGAAAAATTGATGTGGGTACTCAAATAAAAGGTATTGATGAGTGTAATGTCGGGATGAGCTTATATCTTTAAAAATGTCAATAGTTCTCAAGATACAAGGTCATTTGTTAATTGTATATCTAAATATAGAGCATTTTCGAATGCAGCCTAAATACTTATCATCATAAATTGACTATTGGTGAGAATGATATGAAACCATGAAAGGCACAACTCCAGGTCAAGACTTTTCCAACGATGCCAAATTTTACCATAAAAACTCATTTTATCACATACATATTACTGGCCACAAAATTTTGCTTATTCTCTTAATAATATAGATTAGATGGTGAAGAAATAAAATTAAAAATAAAAAAATGAAGAATACGGAACGCAGATCTTTCTGGGGAGGTGTGACGAAAAATATAAATAAAAAAAAAAAGAATTTTTCGGGAAATGGAGAGAAAAAGTGAAACAGGAATAAAAGACGATATAAATGAGAGAAAATGGAGTGATATTAATAGTAAGTCGTGACTTTATTTCATCTTTGACGTTCGATAACTCGATATGTAGTCAAACGTATTCAAATTATTCCGCGATACATTATGCATGCATGTACGTGCATTAGTCTAGACAGTTTTATGCAATTATGCTTGGTATCATTTTCAATTTGTTAAAAATTTTAGTGTTTGTTGCTTCTAGATATTCGATTCGAAAAAAACTATTAAAATATAAGCAAATTAAATAATTTATCGGAATGAACCAGTTTTATGTCAATTATTATTGTTATTTAATGAAAAATAAGATAAATAAGTGATAAACAAAAGAGAATAAATTTTTCGAGGATATGTCAGCATGCTTGCAATTCTCAAAAAATATATTTGTATAAAATAACATAGTTAGACAAGAGCAGACAAATAAAGCACCTGTAAATAAAGCATATCCATACAAATGTCAGGGCTTAATATTAAGACAATAAATAGTGTTAATATAGCGCATAGTGCTTTGCACGGAGTATGACAAGATGAATGCCATGAATTAGTAATAGCCTGAGTTATCATGACTATCGATTATTTAACTTTTAACTTTTGGTATTATACACCCAGCTAAATTTATTCCTCTTTACTATTATATTGTATTATGTACTTCTACAGATTCATGTAAATTGCATTTCATGTTGATAAGAGATGTAACTAAATATTTAATAGGATTTTCAAAGAGGAGTACTTGCTCTTCAAGTGGAACATTATTTTCAATGATTGAGAACTTTTTAAAAAAAAAAAAAAAAAAAAAAAAAATAAAATTACAATTAATTTATAAGAAATAATAATTCATTTAATATTGTAATATTTTATTGGTCAAGTATTTTATTGACAGAAATAGTAACAATTGTAAACTACTGTGATTTAAATCTTGTCTCGGAGTTTTAGCCATTTCTGCACCTTTAAATGCTCACTAGATAATAAAGATCTTAAATTATTATTATTATTATTATTATTATTGTTGTAATTTCAATAATTTTCAGTATGTGCGCCTTTAAATCAAACTATTTTATTATACATTTAAGTTTTCCTTCAAAAAACTTGATAATTTATTTTTTTTGCGTATTTTTAGTTTATTTTGATTTTTAAAAGCAAAAAATTTATGTATATTAAAAATAAAATATCAAGTTTCAAAATCACCCTTGAATATATATCGAGATATTAATTTTTTTTCTTAATGTATAACATCAAGAATGGATAGACATATGCAATATGTACTACTTATTAAAGCTGACTGACTTTTATTCTAAAAAGCATAATTATAAAACCATTCAGTTAGACTTTTCAATTTGAAAAATCGGTTCCGCATTCAACCAAGAGCCGGGAATCGATAAAACATCCTTCATTTAATAATTAATAATTAATAACATAATAATTAATAGTAGTAGTTATAATAATCGTAATAATCGTAGCAGAAGTACCCAAAAAAATGTTAATATTAACATTTATAATTTTCTTTCTTATTAATTATAAGTACTATTTACACATAATTATAATTAGATTATTAATGATAATTTATAATTATCAATACAAAATTTATTCAAACTAAATATTTTAAACTAATATAATTTTTAATATTTTATTTTTATTTAACTGCTTAGAGATAAAATTTTAATGAAAATAAAATAATTTTTTAGATATCATTTTCTACCATAAAATATTAACTCTTTATGCCTTGATTCAATATTTATATTTAATATATTTATATTAATATTACTTGACTTAAATTTTATCAAGCGAAAAATACATTGGCCCGAACATCTACTTTTTTTTTTTAACATCTTCTTTTTTTTTTTTTTTTTTTTTACTTTTAAATTTGTAATATTATTTTGTTCAATAGACTTGATTTAACGATTGTCAGAAAATACGTGTCTTCATATTTTTAAATTCTATAAGTGCAATATTTAAAATTTATTTACAAATCATGTTCAAATACAGAATATACTTCTTTCATATCAACTTCAATTAAAAAATTTAGTTAAATATCATTTTGTATTAATTACAATTATTGTACAATTTAAAATTTTTTTTTTTAGTGCAGTCAATTATTTTTCGGTTTTTTTAAACAATGAAAACTTTTTCTAATATTTTTTTATTCGAGCCTTGTACTATGATTTTGTTTTTAAAGATTCCAAACACCCGACTAGCATTAATAATTATTATCATTAATCATCACTATTATTATGATTATTACGTTAATTATTACAAGAAATTATTAGTGTAATTCCCAGCTTAAAATCGTTCATCTCAATAACTCTACTTAAATCCATACTTTTTAATAAATTTAAGGGAAAATATTTTTAAACTTAATTTTATCATAATTTTTTTAATTACCTGGGTAAAAAATTTTATATAAAATTATATATAATTTTTTTTACCCGGATAAATTATAAAAAAAAAAATGATTTTTTAAATACTTTCCCTTGTTCATACTCTTAACTATTTAAAACCATTCTCAAATGCTTTCTCAATAATCCAATCATGCCAATTCGGACGCAAATTATTTATACAATTGTTGACAAATCTTAAATATTTTTGTATACCATTTTCATAGGCCGTTTTCTATAATTTTATGAAAAAATACTATGCGGTACCTCGTACTCATTATTATTTCCACCAACCCATATTCAATAATCGTGTTAACTATGTACAAAATTTAAAATCGATTATTTAATATAATATTTTAAATTTTAATAATAATCTCACGCGCTCAAAGACTCATACAATTATTGTGATTTAATTTGTACTAATTGTATTTCAATAAATTTTATTTACCTGCCAATAAACTATAACTGACCTACTGTACAATTGTAAAGTCGGTACTCAATATAATAATATATAATATTACAATTTTAAAAAATAAAACAAACAACCTTGACACTCAAACTCTTGGTTAGCGATTTATACAAAATAACTTGTAAAAAAAAAGTATACTTTATCATTATTATATGTTGCACATACTGTGTAACTTTGTATTTTATCCACGTAATCGTAATATTTCTCTAGAACAGAACGAAGCTCAGTAATATTAATATTAATAATAACAAATAATAAAACAATCAAATTAAATATAAACTATAGTTGAAAGTTACTTAAAAATTTTCAATATAAACAGCATTTTAATGTGATTGATTACGTAGCACCGTATCTTAATATCACTTTATGAATATATTTTTATGTATAATAGAATTTTAGGGTGTCTTTTAAATCAATATTGTAAATTGTAAATTACAATTACAATTCAGTTAAATTCTATGGAATAATTACGGACCTAGTAATACAGAAGCAACTGATAAAAACAGTATAAATATATACATTATTTACAATTTATTTATTTTTTTAAATTAAAACCTAAAATCTACGACTAATAATAATAATATTTTATATTTATAATTCCATCCACAGTAATTATTGCATTACATTGTAATTGTAACTTTAAATAGTTAAATATTACAGCGTAAAATATTGATACTGTGGGCGTTGTTGATAATTAAGTAACATAATTTGATCTGTTTAGTTGTATTTTAATTTTTTAATTTAGTAATTTAAGCAACGCCAGGCTGCAGAGTCAGAAGATATGTCGTAGGATCGTAGTATCCAGCGAGATAGTAGATATCGTTGTTATCGTAAATGGTGAGATACCGATGAGGCTCTTTTCCGAGCTTTGTTGTGTAATCTTGGAGAGGAAGTACCTCACATTTGTGAGATATCGTCTGGACGTCGTTCTCGTCCATGTGAGGTGACTCAAATAACGCGCCCTGCAAGTTAAATTAAATTAGAAAAAAAAAAAAAATTAAAACATTTCTAACTCTGATGGTAATTTATCATCCTAAGATAAAAACACCCAGTACCAATTTTTATTTATAAAAATAAATCTCACCGGATACTTCAAATTGGCAGGACACCCGACAGTTTCCTCAGGATGGTAGAACCACTTAACCTTAACAATCATATTAGAACTAGTAGTTTCCCACATGGACTCAATTTTTCCAATGTAGGGTCTATCGGGACGGCCAGTAGACAGAAAAACAGCGCTGTCGCCAATCTGTATCGTCTCGGTGCCCCTCTGGATCGCCTTGAAGAACTGTTTTTTGGCCCTACCCTTGGCCCCGGGCCTTCTGTATCCCTTGCCAGCCCATCCCCACAGCTGTCTTGCCGGTAAGAAAGCTGCCATCTTACTCCTGCTCTCCACAGACTCCTGTCTCTCCCTTACCTTGCTCTTTTTCTTGCATTTATCACTTTTCTCCTCAACGACCATCTCCTCAACAACCAACTGGGGATCTTGAGTCAGTTGCGCCTCCTGAGAAGCCTCATCAATCTCCAGATCACCACTAACCACATCTCCATTCTCAACTGACCCCTCATTCTCTTGAAGATCTTGCTCATTTCTATTCCCACTTTCATTATCATGTTCTTCCTCAGTCCTGACCCCCGAGCAGCTTTCCCCTCCACTCAGATGACTATCATTATGCCCTGAGTGATGATTATGCTTGTGTTTATGCTTCCTGTGCTTTCTGTGTTTGTGCTTTCTGTGCTCTTCACAGCACTTGTGCCTCTTGTGCCTCTTTTTGCCATCAACAACCTGGACCAGTCTCTTGAGCTTGTCCCTCCTTCGTTTCTTCAGCTTCTTGCGCTCCCTGTACTCTTCCATAGTCTTGTCATCCAGCTCTTTACCATTCTCACCGTGGCTCTCGACCTTGTCTTCCCCATGAGTAACCCCAGAGCCATCTGATCTCTTATCATCGCTCATAGAATTGAGCCTTCTTTTCTTACCTAACGTCAACAAGGGATTGGGATCATATTCCACGACCGGATAATCAGGAAGAAGCAGCCTGATATCATCCAAAGCAATCCTACCGCTGTCCCCATCATCAAACTCGACACTGACAAACTTGTCATCCAATTCAGAGTCCGGTTCTGAAGACTCGACGGAAGTTCCAGGATACAAACATCGGTACTGCTGGCTCCAGTAAGCACATAACCTCGTTCCCGGAGCAAGTTCCTTAGTAGACGTAGGACAGACCTCTACAATAGCGTCTCTGAGGATTTCTTCTCTGGAATGAATGTGAGGCCTATTGCCCCTCTCGCCATCTAGCGTGATCGCATAAATATCCGGAGCTTGAACGGCGCTGAGCCTGCCGGCATAGAAAAGCCCTCCCATGGCGGTTAACACCCTCAGCTGATCAATCTCCAAATGATCTGACACCAGCTTGCATTTATTGGCAATATTCTCGACTTTCTCAGCTTTTGCAGCGCGAGCGCACTCTTTGCATTCTTTGCATTCGGAAGACTTTCTACGCTTGGCCTCTTTCTTCTCCTCACTGGATTTCCTCCTCTGAGGCGACGAAGATGTGGATTTCCGCTTCTTCTTCTTTGACTTCTCACAATGAACCTCCTTGTCAACAACCAGTTCATCAGACTGAGCCTCCACGAGTTCAACGACCTCTGGCTCGCTTTTACCAACTTTTTCAGTTACTTCTTCCCAGTCCTTAACCTTCTGAGGCTTAAGCTTGGGCTTCAACTTGATAACCTGTTTTTCAAGCTTGGCTTCCTGACTCAACTTGGCCTTCTCAGCGAGAATCGAACTGATAACATTCTTGCTGTGCAACGGCGTCTGCTTAATCGCCTTAGGCTTTGATTGGCTCTTCAATTTACTCTGTCTGTTCTTGGCACTTATCAGACAACTCACCAACGACTTGCTTCTAGACTTCTTTGCAACTATTGTTTCCGTCAGATGACGGCTCATCGAAGTGCACATCAGCTTCTTTGGCCGACCAACTTTCCGTTTAGCAGAACTGGAGCTTCTCACAGTTGGAGAAGATGAAGAAGTGTCGTAATCAACGACTACCGCCATCTTGTCTTCTTCTTCCGAAATTTTGCCTGGTAAAACAGATTCCGGAGAAACACTGGGAATGTTATCCAACAATTTAATATGACTTCTGGGTTCTTTTAACCTCAATGCTGAAATTTCATCATGCGCTTTTAAATCACCTTGCAAATCAGTTTTAAACGGTTGGGTTTTATCTTTGAAAATTTTGATATTGAGTTCACAAACTTTATCATCGTTAAGTTTATTCTCACCCTCCGAATCTGTGCAATCATCATCAGCGTCATTTGCTTCGTAATCATACTTTTTTGCTTTATTCGTCTCCTTATCATTAAAAGAGTAAAACAAATCCTTTCTAGTCTTCTTGGCATTTCTGTAAATATCATCCACAGAATGACGTCGCTTCTCTCCCTTTTTTTCATCTTCACCAATATCCCGCTTCTGGTCCCCAACTTCTTCCATGAATCTTTGCTCAGCCAACGCACAAAGCAGCCCCAAAGGACTGTCAACATTGTTATTATTCTCCTGACTTCCTTTTTTCGCACTTCGCTTTCCCGGTGAAGCTTCCACTTCCGAACCACTAGTACCGTCAGCGCCATCTGGCTTCAAATGCTCCAACTGCGCGATACTATTGGACAGCAGTTCAAGGCCGCTTAGATCAACATTTGTCTTTATTTTCTTGCGTTCTTTCACGTCCAATTTACAAGAATCGTCCGAACTTTCGCTGTCAGTTTTTTCTCTTTGATTTTTCTCAGACTTGTCATTAACACTATCATCATCATCTTCATCATCATCATTATTATTATTATTATTATTATTATTATTATTATTATTATTATTATTATTTTTATTATTTGTACTAGTACAAAGATTACTGAGGTTATTGCCGTTTGCTAACCACCCAGAATCTTTCTTTAACTCATCTTGCTCAGTCACCGATTTGCTATTAATATTTTCCAAAATAGAAGACTCTTTCTCGTAAAACCTCAAAATATGTTTCTTCAGACCATTGGTAAGCGTCCGAGGTAAGCACCTGGCAACAGGCGTCGTTGTGCTGATAGCGACACTTACATTGCTACTTTCAACGACTTGTTCATTTGATTTTTCAGAATTATCTTGCAGCGCGACTGCATTTTTCTTAAGTTTTTCCACGACGTTTTCGATGCCGCGGTTTAGCTTGTCTGGATGATTCTTTTCAGGAGTTATTGGACAGTCCTTAGCTTTTAGACTATGATCTTCCTCATCACAGTCGATGGAAGGCATATCCAGAGATTTGAACTGTAAAAATCATATGTTAATTATAATGAAATAAAATATAATTAAAATAAATGTTAACTTTACCTTTTCCGTGGGTGAGCAGCTGGAATGAACAATATCCGAATCCTGAGGATCAATTTTGTCGACCTCGACATTATTAACCTCCTCAGAAGCATGTAAAGTAGAAGTAACCGACTGCTGCCAGTCTTTATCCTTGTCTTTATCTGCTTCACCATCAAAATTATCATTTAGGCTAGATTCGCGTAACTTTTCTTCATTAAACATTTCTTCAGAATACTGAGGCTTGCGACAAAGCTCAACAGGATCCCTTCGTCTTCCAAAGAACTCGAGATTTTCATGGAAGCTGTCGCAGTTTTCTTCTGTAATCTCAATAACTCTGGAAGGACGTCTGCGGATTCTCTCTTTAATAATAGCTTCGTCAGCAGCTGAGTCGACAACTTCTTCATCTTCAGTGGACTTGCAGACTACTCTGTCGATAGCCTGGTCTATGGAGCTGATTGCTTCGATCTTTGGGTCCTTTTGCAAAGGAGCGACCGCAGCTTTGTCGACTTTGCTCTTTTGCTCGATGCTGGAGGACACGATATCGAAATTGCAGCTCGCTGGAGCCTGGCAGGAAGAAAAAAGCTGCTCTTGCTTGATTGGCAGTCCGTCAATCTCTATTGATGGATGGACATCTTCCTCAGGCTCGGGGGCGTCTGTCTGGTTCGAAGCGTCTTGGACGTTCAGTACGTTGTCGAGAGTCTCTATTGCGTGGGTCGGAACCACTTCTGGAGGAGGTGTTAGACAAGAGACTGGTGATGTTGCTTTTGAGATGAAGGTGTTCCGTTGCTGGAAATTATAATTCTTCTATCAGCATTTTATTAATTATAATTAAGCTCGTGATCTTTTTATACCTGCGTCCGACACTGCATCGACTCGGATTGACTGATTTGCACCAGAGCCGGAGCATGAGGATAGTAGTGTAATGTCGTCAAAAGTGGAGTGTCCGTCATCAATGAGCCTGTCATTGTTGTTACCGTTTGCAAAGCTTTACTCGATTCTGCAGATGCTGATTAACAATAAAATTATTATTACTAATATTTATATAAAAATAGTTTTTAATTTTTAAAAATATTTTTAGTGTAGAAATGAAATATTAAATCACATGAATTTATAAATAACGTCTCAGATTTCTAAAACTAGTTAAAATTCAGAATAAAGTCTTAGTAATATAAAACTATAAGATTAAATTTCTTCGAACTTTAAATTTAGGATTAAATAGATTCTATCTAATAAAAATTTTATAAAGTTTTATTTTTAAACATAATTTCTAAATTGTCTATCAAAGAGAAAGCTTTTGTTGTAATAAATAAAATTAATAGGGAAATATTTGGATAGTTGGCAAATTTAAACTGAGAACTGGACATCAAACGTTTTAATTACAGCAATTTAATTTATTAGCTGATCTACGAAACACGAAGAACAAGTTTTAGAAAGCGTTCTATCAAATATTCAATCAACAAATAACTTATTTTCAATTAGCTTTTACACTTGAACTGCACTTGATGGCTATCAAAATTTATGAAAAAATATTCGAACCAAAAAAATTATCCGGTCTACAAAACTATTCGATACTAACTAAAAAAATAAAAAAATTCCTTATGCTTAAGCAGAATAGAATAGAAGCAGATAAAGAAATAAAGATAAATATTTATCGATTAATATTATCCGTAAAATCGAAACACACATGACGACTTAGAACCTTTTTTCCTCGAATAGAAGCTTGGCGTTCTTTTATAGTCACATTTGAATTAAATTAATGGTTAGACACTTTGCTCGGGACACACATGTGGTGTTAAATTTTTCCTCAGCTAATTAAACACCGCGAGTATAAACAAAAAGTCGTGTCATGCTTTATGATGATATACGTATAATGATGTACAATGTTTAATGATGGTCTTACCAATGATAGTAGCGTTTGGAGTAGCACAATCGGCTTCGATTTTAACAATAGGAACATTATTTTGCTGCTTCCGTTTGTTCTCTGTTAAAACTAGTCTAGCACCATTTATGTCGCTGAGTAGCTGAAGAGATGGCGGAGTTGCCGGTCCCGGTAGAATCAGCGGAGGAGCTCCGATGTTCGGGCTGCTGTGCATTGAAGGGTAGTTTGGCCAGACTACTGCTTGCTGCATTTGCTCCGCTGATAAGAAATTATTTATCATTTTCACTATTTCCTTATTTAACTATTAAATTTTTATAAAAATTCAAGACTTTTGTTTCTGTGATATTTTTAAAGAAGAGATTTTCTTTTTCAAGTGACTAAAGTATAATTTATTAAAAAAAATTTACCAGCAGCATGGATCAGTAGAAGTTGACCACTTGTTGGATCCCGTACCAATTGCAGCCCACCTTGCAAGCCAACGCCAAGATGGGGAAACCCAACGGGTTCCAAAGACGGCATTGCTGCTAGACGAAAAACAAAAATAAACTAATGAACTTCCATTACTAAATAATTGACAATTGACAATTATTATCAATAAAGATGAGTTGGCAGTTGATGATAATCCAGGAAGATGATGTCACTTACCTGTGGTGGGGTATTGCCATAATGTTGGAGGCCATGCGCCCGGCGCGGTAGGTCCGATGTTGCTGAGGCCCGAATTTAGGGTTGCGTTGAGAGAGGGTGCCAAGGCAGCACCCGAGGGGATCGCGAGATGGGCAGGACGGTCTTCCCCTCCAGTCCCGCAGTGAACCAAAGTCGCGCCGCCCATCGCCATGGCCGTGGTTGAACCTGTAAAAGATCCAGCCCATCTGTCAGTCGATACGCTTAAATTGCCATGACTTTCCCCTGACACCCACACATTTGTACAGTCTTACACACACGCATTACTCGTTCATACACATATGAACAGCGCGATAGGATGATCCAGCACTTGATATATTCTTCCTACCAATATAGCTTCACGCGGCTCACATACACGCTCAACTCTTCAGCTACTTGCTAGGCTGCGTTCGTATTGCTTCTGCTTGTGCTTAGGTATATTTTAGTACAGTATAATACAGCGAAGTACAGTGTCGATGTGACGCCGCGTCATTCAGTGAATGTAGCTGGTTATATTAACTTTAGCTTTATCCTTAGAGTTAAGTAGTATAGAGGATAGAGGCAAACATGGTGGTGCTTGAAATTAAAATCAACCCAAGAAGATATAATAATAGAAAAGAAGATATATATATATATATATATGTACTAGAGAACGGCCTCACACGCTTCTCTTCATTTTTTTTATGTGGGAACTCACGCGATTACTTAAACACCATAAATAAACCAATTATGTCTCTTTATCTGGGATACTAAGCTTATTACTCTTTTGTTCTTTTTTTTATTGTATGTTTTCATATTGTTTTTTTCTTTCTGGAGTTTTTAGCTGGAGAGTCTTGTTGAGAGCTCTATTAGGAGCGCAGGACTTTTGGGAAGAAATCTTTGCTTTAGAATTTAATGGTGGACATTTTTTTTAAGGAAATTATTGGTAACTTTGAAAAGTTAATTGTTAAGGTTTAATTTGTGATAATAATTAGGGAAATTTTTAATATTGCATGTAAAAAATTGTTAATTTAAGTAAAATTTACTCAAATCAGGAACAATTTTTTTGATTTAACAATTTTTTAAATTGAATCAAGAAGAAAAATTCTTAAATTAAGTAAAATTCATTCAAACTACTAACAATTTATCAAAGAATTTTTCAAATTGATGTTTTAATTTTTTTATTAATAAAATTAATCATGAAATTAAACACTTAGCAAGATTATATTTAAATAAATCAAAAGTTTTGGATTAATTGCAAGAATATCAGAGCTAGAAATTGTTGTAGTAATATTTAGTATTTATGAAAAGCGGTTAAAAATGTCAAAATATGAAGAGATTTTAAGGTATATGTATAATCACTGGGTATGTATATTAGGTAGTGAACGCATGACATGCATGTGTTTATAATATATATATATATATATATATATAGCAAAGTAAAGTACTAATATATCCATTATCTGTAATACCATTGACGATTGACTCTTTATCTCTTACAGGACGGTATAGTATGTCAGGAATATAGTGTTGCGGATAAACGGTACTCGATACTATGCTGTTTTCATTAATGCCATCGGACAGGGGAGAGTCATCGGAATTCCCGAGGCAAAACGCAACGCGCAATATAGCTACATATAACGCAGTAGAGACCGCTCAGGATAAATGTCGAGGCGGAATATTAACGAGGGCAAACGTGCTGTGCAGCTATGCTGTGAAACACAACTGATGAGAATATATATATGTATTTTTATAAAAAACTATCATATATTATTTTTTTTATTTCCCAGAGATAAAACGCTATTCATTATTCAACTTTTTTTGACAAAATTAATCTCCAAAAAAATTCCTACTGTCGAAAATCGATTATATTTTAATAATTTTCGAACATTACTTCTTTTAATTGGAATTGAAATTAAAATTGAAATACAATATATAAGAATTTAATTGCAGCATTTAATGAAATTACTTTTTGACAAAGCTTTTTAATTAATTAATAACTCGGTTTTGTTATATACCATATTTGATCGATGAAAAATTGAAATATTTTATAGAAAAGCTATTTTATTAAAAGCTAATACTAATAATTAATTTTTAATACGTCTAATGTTCTAAATTCTTGAAGAATTAAATAAATAATTCGACATACTATCACCGCGCTTGAATGTGTATTATATATTGCTGATTTAGCATATTAAATAATATTATCGATCTTATATAATCAGTATGCTGAAAAATTGAAAGAGCTATTCAATCGTAAATCCGTGTCTGAAGCATCTTGCATTTACAAAAATTTACAGACGAATCTCGTCGTCACTTTATCTCAGATTCACAAGCTTTGCTTTTTAAAGTAAAAGTATGAGAGTTATAAAGAAGATCAAAGATATCATTTGTGTGATAAATTTTTTATGAAAGGCTAAATTTCATTGATAATGTAATTTTTTTTACTTCGTATGAAATTTTTTTGCTAAAAAATGTAAATTGAGAATTTTCCTTTATTCTCTTGAATATCAAGCTCTAATCGAGTGAATTACAATTTGACGGATATAATTTTGCAACAAACGCCCACTTGTAAATTTTAGTGGAATATTTATTGCAGAAATCATAATGCGAAGCCCGCATCTAGTAAATTTCCCAGTCCATAGGCTTGAGTGTTCAGTCTACGTGCTGTTATATACACACATAAGGTATATCATCCACCCAATTATCTTGGCATGTATTTTGCTTAGGGTGACCACTCACCCGGGAGTTTGGTTGTCATCTGCAGAGTTTCGCGGAAAATTTGAAATAGCCTCAGGCCTATGACAACTAAAATGACCCTTCTCTTCTAGATTTTCAACATAATAACTCCTAATTACAATAAATTTTTCATTTCGGCTAAACACTTCACACACGGACGGTCCTATGAATACAAATATATTGACGGTCTAATTACCAATTGGTCTAACTGCTTATTTTTTAGAGGGCGATTTTTTAACATTTTAATGTAGTAATAGTCTAATTATAAATAATTTGAATGAACCAAACTAAGATATTATCCCTCGTCGATATGACAGAAAATTCAATCTCCTGAAATAGAGATTGAGAAAATAAACTACCAGCAACATTTCTATATATTATAATTATAATTCATCTGAACTGTTAAATGTTATGCAATCTCAGGCGACAAGACACAACAAACAAGTGTTATACTGACCAAGATTGTCCGGCTGAAAGTGATGATAGCTAGCATGATGGGAGGTGTGATGACTCAGTGAGACATTTCGCATGGACGTCGACGATGTTTCCTGGTGATGTTGTAACCTTTGGCGAGCAACGGCAATGCCCACAGGAATTCCGCTAGCTGCTGCAGTAGAGACGACTATTCCTGAAAACGTCAAACATAAAAATTCAGCTTCAGAGAAGAAAAGAAGAAAAAAAATATGAAAAAAGCCAGCATGAATATAAATTACAGTTGCCATTTATTACGATGCACGTAGGTGTACATTCAACGTATCGTAATTTGCTCGATGCGTTGCGGTTGCTCTTTGGTATAGTAGAAATACATAAATATATATAAATATACGATATATATAAATATATATATATATATGTCCCACAGCCTAGTGTAGTAAGACTCGTTTTATGCCACGCCTTGTATTTACGTCGCCATGCGTGCCACGCACCTCCTACTTAACCAACAAGCCCCTTCTTATTATTTTTATTATTATTATTATTATTGTTGTTAGGATTTTGAAAAGTTATCCTTCACCCCCTTTAATTTCTTCCCGAGCAGATTTCATTGAAATTATTTAAAGGTCTACTCCTCTTTTACAACTACTGCGCTCTTCTATAGCACTCTCGACATACCGGATCAATTCTTTGTGATAGTTTATCATTTTAAATATTTTGTGTAACTCTATTTCTTCGGGTTCTGAGGACCAAAAGTTCACCCTCATCTTCTTGCACCGCCTCTCTTTTATTCTCCCCTATGGCTCTCATTATATAAGAAAAAGTTAGGGAGCATGAAACTTATTTTCATTGGTTAAACTTCAATGGGCACATGAGACTGGAGGTGCAAGAGGAAGAGAGGATTTTATGTTTTAACACTAGGGGTTGGACGCACTTTGAATTTTAAAAATATTCAATTATACAGTGTATAATTATTTATAAAAATTAAATTTATTTTTAAGAATTAGATTATCTTGAATTTAAAAAAATAATTCTTGATAGATTAAGAATTTTTCTTCTTGATGATTTAATTTATCAAACCGCCATTTTGTTAAAAATATATATTTTAATAATTGCTTCCAAAACTTTTCTTTTTATTTTTGAATTTCAATGAAAAATAATTATTTGTAATTATAATTAAATATCAAAGTGACAAATAGATGTATAGAAATTTTTACATCAATCAATTCAAAAATCTCTTTAGAAAAAATGATATAAAAAATGGCTTTTTTCAGCCGTCTGAACGCGTATAACCTCTTGACGATTGAACTCTGGTATAAAAAATAAAAAAGTGTTTAAAAAATCTTAAAATAGAAATAAATAATAAAAGAAAATATTAACCATTCTCGGACTTGGGTGGAAGCGGTTCAATTTTAACCGCCGTAGTCGTAGCGTGAAGAGACGTTGATACCTCGGCTACTTGACAAGGCACCGCAGCGAGAGGTTCCCGCTTGATGAGATTAGTCGCGGCGCTCTGGTTGAAGGCATTCGCGCAGGACGATGTGTCTTGACCGTTCCAGGACGAGACAACTGGTAAAGTCCGGCTGCATCCCGCCTCTGAATGGACGACTTTTGTTTTGCCTAAAAAGAAAATTTTTTTTTCAATTTAGCTCGCTCTCTGGTACCAAAAACAAAACACAACAAAATACTTTAAATAATATATAAAGAGGAGCGTGAACGAGAGGAAGAAACAGCAAGCCCGTCTACATCTACATCCATACACCAGTTATATATATATGAATAGAAGCGATAGACGCTAAAACCGGCGGAACGATAAAACGAGCGACGAGACTGCTTAAATATAGAACAGAAAACAGAAAGAGGAATAGAGGACTTGTTGCGTAAGCACGTCTGTCATCTACTTGTGCTATATATTATGGACTATAATATACTATAATATACTATATGTATACTATATCCCCAGTCATAACTAGTTAAGCTCAGCGTCATATATGGAAAGTTTAAGCCTTCTATTCGGTTAAGTTCAATATTAAGAATAAAAAGCTAAAGCCAAACTCGAGTAGAAGCTCAACCAGGCTCAAATTCCTGCAAAGCTTCATTCGTGTTTGTCATTGTCGAGGAAGACTAATTTTGAAACATTGCAATCTTCCATGGAAGGTAAAAAAGCTTTGCTTGATCCACAAAATATTATTATTGCTGAGATACATTGAAAAATATTAGACTTAAAAATAATTAAAATTATTAAAATAGCGTACCGTTGTTGATGTTAGTGCTTTTGCAGATGCAAGATTGCCTGGTGGTGGTTTTGTTCTCGACTTTGATAGCAGTTTGGGCAGCCTGTCCAGTAACGAAAGACTCGCGCTTCTTCATGGTACTTTGGACAAAAGCGCTCCCTGTTTGGGCACCCTGGACTATCACTGTGCTGACAGTGCAAGCGGCTGTCCCCGATGGGACTGAAGATCCGCTGTTCGAGGACGGACAAACGGCCAATTGATGATTATTTTGATCTCCAGGCTGATACTCTTGGACCAAAAGCCCTCCGTTGGCTGGCATTACGCTCGCCTGGGTGTTGGGGGATGAAAAACTGTTGATTGTCAGCGCCGGTGTTCCTGCAGTCACCAGGGAGAGTTGCGGAGAGAAAGTTCCTTGATGGATTCCACCTTTGTTGGGAGTAAAATTAGATAAAAGCGCTAATTAGATAAGTCTACTGGGGAGTGGACAACAAAAACGTTTTAGTAGGTGTCCATTCGTTTCATTGGCTTAAGTATACTTACGAAACTGCTCAGGAATATTCTAAACTAGCTTTAGCTAGTATTCGGAGATGCAAGCATGCACTCGATTTTAATCAGCTTCTATTTTTGTTTGTTTCAAAAGTTTATATTTTTTTAATTTAAATATTTTTACGGTATATTTTTGAAAATTCAAGTCTAAGTCTTATCAATTTTGTGCAAATTTTATTTCAAAACCTATCAGTGTAAAAATAAAGTCTGTAAATTAAATCTTTGGCAAAAACTCATGCAATATTTCCTATTTCCAAAAAAAAAAAACAAAGTGACATTATAAACACTGTAAAAAAAAACACGTCACACCAGTAAAGTTTTTAGTCGTAAAAAGATACGACTTGACAGATGAGCCATGAGTAAGATTCGAGAAGCACACACTTAGTATAAATCTTGCAAGACTAAACAAAATTAGGTCTTTAGTAAAATTCGTTCAAGAATAAGTAAGATCTCCATATCCTCATCGTGATTTCAGTGTGCTAAAACTATGTGCCAAGGACCTCTGTACATAAAAGGCACGCAAGCGACGATGAGTGGAGCAAATTAGGAGTTTGCTTTTCGACTGTCAGAAGTAGCCGCAAAAATGGAATTGAATCGTAAGAAGAGAGTTAAAATAAAATAAGGAGCTAGCCAGAGTTTAGAAACATCCAAGATGGATATAATCATTTGTTGATGACTAACCGAGTGTTAATATACGTTCGTCAATATATTTGGACGTAAACGAGGTCGTCGATGTACTCGTCACCATCGACTCACCGTGATGAAGATGATGAAGTCCAGCTAGGTTCAGAGTGTGCTGGGTGTGCTGGGCATGGTGGACACTTGCCCCCACATTTACCCCCACGCCCTGGAGGGTCAGCGGCTGCTGGGCATGATGCGGCGCTAGGCTTGCCAAATTCTTCGCCAGCAGCTCCAGCTGGGTCACTCCCGGAACTGGACTGTATGGGGAACCCGGTGGTGGTGTTGGTGCTCCCCAAGTGTAGCCCCCAACTCCCACTCCCACTGCTGCTGAGAATACACTTTCTGAAACTATAAATTTGTTTTTTTTTTTTTTTAGAATACACTTTATGGGTCTAGAGTCCAACTGATATGTGTTTGAAAGTAATAACCGAGTTATTCAATCGACCGGTTACTTGTTTTAGTGTTATAAATTTGATAAGACTTGTTTTTCTAGTTTTTAGTTTTCATGATGCTTTATTAGAAATAATTTTTATAGGTAAATTTATTTTATCACGATTCTGAGTTTTAAATAATTTAATTATTTGTTTATTAAATATTTTTTTTTTTTTTTTTTTTTTTTTTTTGTATCAGAGAACAATATTTATTCAGGTGAAAACTAACTTGTTTGCATTTGAAATAAACAAATTGCCGTTGTTTTATATTCATCATTTTATTAATAGAACATTTTAATTTTGTCCTCAAAAAAAGAAAATAAATATCAACAATTAGCAAATTAATAAAAACAAATTTGATGTTTCAAATATAAAAATGAAAAATATCTCGTGCTTGTTTATAAAAAATATTTGTAATTTAGAAATACGATACGGCAGGACTTGTAATCAGAAGAAACATAATTTTTTGATTACCAAACTGTATAAGCGTATAAAACAGGTGCAAGTCAAAAAAATAACGATAACATTTGGGCATTAAATTTATATATAAATAGCTTCCTGTTGATAATCTATAATAACGTAGACTTTGTACATATAAACTAAATGGAGGTATGTTTTTAGTATTATGTCATTTACGAGCTTTTCTCAGAAAATGTTTAGTATTTTTTTTCGGCTAATCTTTCTCTACCCGGAGGAATATGTATAAAAATTCAATATCATATTTATTCAAACACATCGTTCCCATGTCTCACGACCATCAAAGAAATGTTTTATTTGGAAATATATTATTTCTTATTTCTTGCACAAGTATAACAAAATCAAGTAAAAAACTCGTAAATTTATGACTTGGGAGTTAAATTGAGTCACAAAAAACTTAATACGAGACATATTAGACTAAAAATGGATTATTTAATTGTACTGAAAAATATTATAATACGTATTATTTATTAAAAGTTCAATTTCCGTCAATTAATAATGTAAATGTACAATCAGAACGTGAATCGTTAATGATTAATGTCGGTCTAATTGGATAAAAGTACAATTTAAGTGTTTTATTTAGTATCATGTTGTGAAAAAAATGGGTCTATTAAATTAGAGAAAAATGTTCTCATATTATATCTTATATCCCAGACAAAATCAGATATTACTCACCTGTCCGTTCTGCTGAGAAATGCGTGAGCATAACATAAATAAGTTCATGTGTATTTAATTACAACGATTTAATAACGATTGTTTCTACGCATCGTTTAAGAAAAAAAAAATACACGTGTCGTTAAAAGTTTGCATTCGTTCCAGCTAATGGAGATAATTAAGCTACCGGTAGCTTTTTTCACGACCCAAATTTTACAAAAATAATTATATAATTTTTTTTTTTTTTTTTTTTTTTTTTAAATAAAGTGTGAACTGGAATTCTTAATTTTCTATTCATTATATAATTATCCAAACTCGGATAGATTATACCGAAAATGAGGGCATCGTTTTAGGTTACACCTACCGGACAATGAGGTTATTAAAGCCCTCAAAGGACAAAGTATACCCTCCTCGGAAGGAGGAGGCTCATTCAGAATTTTAATTGCATAATTGCGGTATTGTGAGAACAGCGTCGGACTGTCAAAAAGACCGAGCGCAGAATTAAAAAATTGCCGAGAAAAAAAAACAGTAATACGTGTCGTGATCTCGTTAGTATCAAAAAAAAAAAAAAAAAAATAAAATAAAATAAAAAAAAAATATAGTAACCTAATAAGAAGAAAAAAGAAGCCGAGAAATAACAAAAAATATATAGGATAATAGAATAGAATAGAATACCTTTGTGTGTCGTCGCATGATATGTTCTTCCGGGGGTAGCTGCAGGGGTGGCTGCTGTCGTCGCCACATAACTACCCCCGTTACTTCCTGGAAATAAGGAATACAGCTCGTATCGATTAATGCCTGAAACAGTAATTATTTTAGTGTTAGAAGAAATCTCAAACTTTGCCAAATTTTTTTTTGCTTTTCGGTATATTGTGTAGGGCGCTAATTCCTGAGAAAGTTATTGTCTGTGGAATCTTAATGGAGGGTATTGATTGCATTCTTTAGATTCTTCTTCAATTGAATAGTTTAAATGTTAAATTTAATCACAATTGTATCAATGTTTGTTTTTTTTTTCATCAAACAGATGATATTGTATCTAAAAATTGACACTACACTATAAAGATTTTTTGATAAAATTGTAATTTCAAATTTTTTTGTCCACATTAACCTGAATTTGAACCAACTACAACAATTTTGAGATCCTGCTCTCGCTTTTAGGATAGTACTGTTCAAAATCAAGTAAAATTAGGCGCCAAACAGTGAAGAACAATGAAGAATCAAGCAAAAACAGTCCTACCAATGTAACATTAAGAGGAATTAGGTACATTTGGATAAAAGGGACGGTTCTGTTGGCTGTTGGCTGAAAATAATGATAATTGGGAAATAAATAGAGGGATAAGTCCAGTGGGAAAAAATGTTATCTAACCTTGATTGTGTGGTGGTGCAGGGGTGGCAGCTAGGGGTGGCGTTGCTTGGGACTGCTGGCTTCCTGGTAGATTATTTTGTGTAGGCGCAAGGGGCCACAGAGCGGTGGCTGAACCAGGGACGGAGTTGTGAGGACCCCGAACCCCGGGATCGCCGACCTGATGGCTGGCAGTTCCCCCTGGGGCCACGGGAGGGACCAACATTGGACCACCCCCTCCCGAGGCTGTAACAGAATAAAAAACACCTGTCAATTGGCGACACTTGCACAAATCGCGGGTTATTCTTTACACCAATTATATTTATCATTTTATCATTATAATTCACCCTGCTTATATTTGGCGGCAGCTACTACTGCCCGTACGAATTAGCATACGAAATTGGCTTTTTTTTTTTTTGCAAAAACACACATTAAGGGTGAGCCGATTATTCACCTCGCTGTTATTATTATGTGTGACCAAGAAATGCCAGCAACAGGTCTTTTAAAACTAATTTATTCTCCAGTTATAATAACAATAACAATAAAAGTTCCATTCGGTTTTATCAGACGTGCAGATAGATTTCTTATGGTCGGATTTAAAGATTATTTTGATGAATTTTTACGGAAAAAATTTCTTTTACACATCACTATATATAAAACTATTTATAGAAAATTATAAAACAATTTTGGCTCTATATAATTTTATATTATTTATTTTTTCCACGTAGTTGCTTAGTGCGAAATGAATCTCTATAATTTAAACTATAAACTTCACGGTTTTCTAATTAATATATGTACTATAATGTATATCAGATAATTTTATGCATATTACATCTTATTAGTATCGAAAATTATCATGATTATGATTGTTCGCTTTACTGATGGCCTAGTTAATTACAATTTTGCGTGCGCTTGAATATTCAATAATTTTAATAACTGAAAAAAATGCGTGGAAATTTTTGAAATTATCTCTCTGTGTACTATTTTCAGTGTCATAATGTGTTCAATGTTAAAATACTTATTATTATTGTGCTCCATAAACTGGAACTGAAGCTCATATAACATAATCTCAGAGATAAGTACGTTCCTTCAGGCTTCATAGCTGTCATTTATACAATATGTGATTTTAAAAGACAGATATGTACTTCTTTAAAGATAGTAGCTCTATCAATTATTAAATAGACACTGTAAGTCACATGAGCGATTAAAATCCATGGGACAAACAGATTTTGTCTACGTCAATAATATGTTTTGATAAACAATGAATCATCAGTTAAAATAGATTTTTCGTTACTTTTTCAACAAAACACTTTAACTTTTGTTTTATATCTTTTCAGCGTGGAATTTTCCGGAAGTCTAATAATTAAACGGTAGTTTTTTATTCATTCAATTACTAATAGTTATTTATTGGTTTATAAATGATCAGGAAGTTGAAGTGTCGAACGATAACAAGGACAATAATTGTATTAAGACAATAATTAATAAAGAAAATTGGGTAACTAGCATCAGAAGGATGGAAATAATAAAAATAAATTCGGGATCACTGAGACGTAATCTTAGCGATGACGACGTCGTTATCCTCGTTGAGTTCATCCGACGAGTTTTTACGTAACTCGCACGACTACCGGAATCTGTTTGGTCCCCTCGTACTCGCCAGAATTCGCCAACGCCTCTCCTTCTCTTTCCTTTTTCTAATTTACTAATTTTTTTTTCATTTTTTTTTATTCCTTCCATCTCAATTATGTACAGCGACACATTTTCCGTAACGATGCTGCGAAATTTAATATTTTTTTACGCCATTGTCACTTCGGATGAATTCAAAGGATAGTAAATGTTATTTCAAGCAATAAAATCGTGATTTTAATAATTATTTTATTATATTTTTTATCCGGATACTATATTATTTTAACAGTAATAATTTCTGTTTTTGATATTTAACATCAAATATTCCCAATCAAATAGAACTTGAGTTGATTTTTCGGCAATAATTCATTATTATGTCTTATAAATTACATGTATGACAGTGTTACGCATAAAAACATTTTTCCAGTTGGATGGAACAGTATCTCCGACATTCGATACAAGAAAAAGGGTGGAAAAAAGTTAAGATCACGTAGAATTTTTTACGAGCACCTGTTTCATCATTTTCCACTCGTGTGCCCGAGGCGGTATAGTAAGGCTACGTCGTCAGGTAGTCACGCTTCGTAGACCCTTCTCGTGTGTACTGGGTATATACATTTATATACATACGTATATATATCCCCAGTGGCTTGAAAAACCTGTTTCTCATTCCTGATGTACCTCTTTTGCTCTTCTCTTTTCTCCTCATCTCATCTCTTTCCTTTTTTAAATCTTACTCGTATTACCATTCGTCCATGAGTTACCGAATCTTGAATTTTGAAATTAGAAGGCCATTATCATTATCATTCTACAAATTTGCCTTTTTTATTTAAATATGTTACTGTTAATCAATGATTTTTTAATATTGAATCATTTAATAAATATTTCCTAATCCTCAAATGAAAAATAAGTGCCAAAATTCTATTTAGACATTTTTTATAATCTCATATTTTAGATAGATAAAAAAATATTCATTAAGTTAGTAAAAATTAACTTATTCATAAAAATATTAATAAGCTCTTCAATCAGTATGCATAAAAAAATGTTATTTCTTGTCAAAGTTGTTCTACAAACTGTGTAAATATGATTTATTTATTTACATGGGTTATTATTTATTTAATACCTTGCAAAACTTCTTTTGTTCTGTAGAATATAAAAACTTTAAAAGTTATAGAGCCTATAACATCACGTATTTTCTTTGTTCTATATAAATTGACCCTCATATTTTGGACCTCTATGAACTTATATTATATTACGCTACATATAGAGGTTCTTTGATGGTAAAAGACCTATCGATGTCTTTTTTATGAACCTCAATAACTTCGCAAGTAGTTCGTGTCATATATAAACATCCATCTAGAACAATTTCACTTGCATAATTTCTTCCAAAATTATTCCCAACTAACTTCAATTACCGAAAAGCTCGATTCCTTTCATTTCGACGTTATATTATATGTAAATGTATAATTATCCATATATGTGACGGCACACGCGTGCTCAAGTCCAGGGTTACATTTATTGTCCTAAATGCATTCTCTCGTGCTGAAAATTGCTAAACCTCAATCACACGAACCTCGTGATATCTAGAGAATTATTGTGAGGATAAATTCAACCACAAAAACGATCACCTGCTCATTTGCAATACTTTCACTAATGCATACCTTGCAATTCATCATTTTTGTACTATACAACGGACTAAAGTCAAACATTGATCAATTTTAATCTAAATTTCTCCATCCTGATCTATTTTCGTACAAAATCTTTTTTTGTACTATCTTCAATCTCACCAAAAAACGCAGCAGCCGGGTCAATAAATCAGAAGAATAGACCCGCTTTTCATTATATCGATGAAAAGGCGTCACGTGACCAAATTTATATACAATATTAGCACTGCAATCTAGCACGTGCCATTAATCTAATAATAAAAAATGCTGCGAAAGGATCAAAACTTACCAAAAGTATACGATTTTTTGCATTTATATTGTTCAAATTAGATTAAAAAAAAAAAAAAAAAAAAAAAAAAAAAAAAAACTTTACTTAATTTAATTTGATCTACATGAGAGTAATATTCAAGTGAGACCAATTTTATATTTCGTGCAGAGTGTCGATATTTTTCATTAAAACGAGCCTTTATTCAAAAACTAAAAGCTCGATGGGATTTTTAGTTGAAAGTCACCAGGCTGATGCAAAAATAATAGAATCAATAAATTAGATCTTTGGGAGCCTATGTTCCGCGTTTACATCCACCATGAAAAATAATAAACACATCAGAGGAACTAAACTGACACCGGGAAAATTACAAATTTAACTTTACAGAGATTTTTAAAACGGGAATATCAAAGTAAATCGATCTGAAACGCAGCAACGCATCACTCTTGTTTATCAAAATGTCCCTCCTGCTCTTACTTTGTGATGGAACGCTTTTTAGTTCAATTTATTGCACAAGGGCGGCAATTTAAACCGATCAGGTATGAAGGTATATATAGGTGTCGCAATCTAGCAAGAGAGATATTTACTCTCATCGCAATTGCAGTATGACTTTTTTTCCAACTAATGTACTTATAATGGTGTTCAAAGTGGATGATTTATTTCAAATCCCGCAGTTTCTATTATCGTGAAAATTAGCATAGAATTCGCAAGATAACACATTCAACAAAGATCAGGAGCATCGAATTGAGCAACAAAGGAACAGAAGCTAATTTGGGAATTTGTTCATCAAAACAGATCGCGGTTTCGCTAAATTGTTATTGGATGCGGAATGCAAAACAGACACCGACTAGCAATGGCTTTACCAATTATGATACGCTTCCTCCATCAAATATCCATCGTTTTAGAGTTCAAAAGCTTTTCACGAACAAGCTATATTGACATTATGCCAGTCATAACTTTTTTATATATAAATAAAAAGCTACAGGCTCTTCTTTTTCGAGAGCTACTTTTCGATTTCTGCACCAGAATGGCATTTAACTGTTTTTTCATTTCGAACTAATAATTCGCTTTCATAAATCAAACACAATGATTGCCGCTTTTGTGAGCGCTAAAATTATCTACAATGAAGAAAAAATTTAACAAAACTTTGAAGTCAATAGTTCAGGCGTTTCAATTGTTGGATTATTCCGTTAGATTAAAAATAAAGAACATTGATTTTTTACTGAAGTTGAACTCTTTTATCTTCAAATGTTAAAAATACAACAAGTATGTTAATTTATTTGAAAAATTTTGACTTCAAATAAATTTCAAGGCTTTTGATAAAGTTTGTGATAATATTTTTGTAATTTATTTCTAAAACTTGGTCGTAAAATTTCTAAATTAATAATTATTATAATTATAATTCATAACTTTAAGTTATTAACGTAAACAATATATAAAAGACTTTTTAATTTTTGGTTAAAACGTCACTTGAATTTTCAACGACAACTTTTAGTATGCAAAACACAATATCATTAAGCAAAAAGATGTAATTTTGCAAAATGAATAGCATTAAATATAATATACCTTTGCAAGTTATAAGGTTGACTACAGCGAAAGTAGCAAGGATGAGATTAAATCAAGTGTACTCATATCATGACGATGTACTCGGTAAAAAATACTTTCTATAAGGAACCCCAGCTACATGCTGCATACGAGAATTAAAATAAAATGATGTGAATTTAAAACCAGACGTATAATAATTTTGTCTAGATGTTTTGAATATTTTAATCAATATTGAGAAGCAAGACGGAGGTCCTGCATGGATCATGTATGTTCATAAGGAATGATTTTGAAGGTACATATTCTAATCTTTTCGAAAAAACTTGAGTGCTCTCTTAAAACGAATTAGCCAAAGTACTGAGTGAATATTCAATGAGAGTGATTGAATCACTCGGGGCAATCAGTGTAATTCACTATTTCAGTACTTTTGAGTGCTTCTCAGTTCTCGGTATCAAATACTTTTGGATGTATTATACATATATGCACAGAGAAGATAACTTTTAAATATGTATGCAAAATAGTAAAGTTTGCTTTATGTAAAGTGTTATAGAAAATTTATCCGACTGCGAAGTTAAGAGCAATCGATAAGCCAGAAAAAATTTGGCTCGTTAATAGCCATGATAATCATTTTTCATTTAAACATTAACCAAGAGAAAACTATAGGAAAGCTCACTGTTGAAAAAATAAATTTCATAAATCACCACCGTTAGGTTACATCAGTATAAGGTTAATCCAAGGTGAGACGTACGAAAGTTGGCTTAAGCACAGAATAAATTGGCAAGAATGAGTAAGTGAAGAATAACGGAATAGGAATAGAATAGCACTGAGAGAAAATTCCGTCGTTTCCAAATGGTCAATTAGTAAACAACAATACGGAGAAGGACGAGAGAATGCTTTCAGGGTCACCGCAGCGTGCGGGCAGGATTTGGCTGACGCACACAACACGCGTGTTCAGCATGTGGCATTAACGACAGAAGTGTACAGAGTTATATGTATAGTTAACATATACGTATAGATA